TGCATATTCAAAAATATAATGCATCTAATAATTTTTAAAAATTTTTCTTCGAACCGTGTTAGATAGACGAAATGATGCCTTTAAAAATTGTTGTTTTGTTTTAAATTGATATCTCGATGCGTTCCCAAGATACAGAATTGCAAAGTTCAGATCTAATAAACCAATGACTTAATCTATCTATATTGTTTTAAGAAATGCATATTCAAAAATATAATGCATCTAATAATTTTTAAAAATTTTTCTTCGAATCGTGTTAGGTAGACGAAATGATGCCTTTAAAAATTTTTGTTTTGTTTTAAATTGATATCTCGATGCGTTCCCGAGATACAGAATTGCAAAGTTCAGATCTAATAAATCAATGACTTAATCTATCTATATTGTTTTAAGAAATGCATATTCAAAAATATAATGCATCTAATAATTTTTAAAAATTTTTCTTCGAAAATTTCTTCGTGTTAGATAGACGAGGCGATGCCCTTAAAAATGCTTTTTGTTTTAAATCGATATCTCGACGCGTTCCCGAGATACAGGCTTCCAAAAGTATAAGGCATAAAGTGATAGTGGTCAGTGACTACTTGGCCTACTCTCGGAAGTGAGTAGTCGCTAATAGAAGTCGTTTACTCAGCGGGATATCGTTGAGTAGCGCCCACGGTCGATGCGAGCGAGAAACGGAAAAAAATTATGATTCGGTTCCAACGATGATATCTCTGGAACCGGAACTCGTATCGGGATGAAACAAACGACAATTCAAACAGGAAGCATCCATGCTTCTAACTGCGTCTATTGGAATATTCTGCAACGATTTGTCGTTGAGTTTTTTAACATTGAACATTCTGATTTTTTTAATCGATCTCAAGAAAAATTTTATCAATATTGTTTGTAAGAAATTTAAAAGCTGATACAATGTAATGTTCCATATAATTTCTAAAGGATTAATTAATTATTAATAATTATCGCGCATGATTTTACGTTATTTGCGTAATAGCTATAACGAAAGCGTGTCTTACAATCTAAATATTTTCTTCGAGTACGAATAACGTTGTATAATAAAAGCCTGATGACTGGAACCGAATAAATGTTAAACACGCGATTCCACTTTGGAGAATATGTTCGAATCAGTGTGCAATTAGCCTAAAAACGAGCCATCGAGAATATTAACGATAATGAGCATTTGGCGGCGGAAAGTGGCAATTTTTATTGTTATTAGCGATACTTTACGCGCATCCGCCTACTGTTGTTTCCGTTCATTTTCTGGTTAATTTCGCGGAATCCATTGGCCAGAGTGAGAGAGAACGCTCTCAGTGTGGTTCGTTTGCGGGGAAATAAGAGTCGAGCTTAAATAATTAGCGCTCAAATGGTTCCACAGAGATCCTATTGATTTTATGTGTTTAATGCTTTTTCGAGAAGCTTTCAGCTTTCGCTTTTGTTTTTATTTATTTATTTATCCTTTGATTTTGTAAATTTATGATGGAAGAAAAATTAATCCTTTGAGTCTCGAAAGTATTTTTTTATTGAATTGAGCTACCGCGTTTGAAAGCTGTTTAAATACTTAAAAAAAAAAAAAAAAAAAAAAAAAAAAAATGCGATACGCTTTTGAAAAATAAATAAATTCTCATTAATTAATGAAATTTCGTAAATTGATATAATATAAAATTTCACATTCGAATATAATATATATCACATTTGAAATTGGATAAAATACTTTTTTTTTTTTTTATCATCGGATTAATGGTAATCTGAGTGTATTTTTATAATTGATCCTCTAATTATTTTTATCGAATATCGAACGAATAGATAACAACTTTATTGCACCAACTATTTTAATACGCGGGATATACGGAAGTAATATTTTTTTCCTCGTTTTCTTTTTCAGTACGCTAATTGGTCATGATTTATCCGATATGAGGGGAAATGAGTGGCTCGTTAAAAAAATTTTCACTGAAACGTATCGTTACGTTTACATCGTTAAAACTTAAATTTCATAAAAACCAGTATCTAATGATAACATCGAATGTATGAATTAGAATTTCATATGAAATGAAAAAAGAAAAAAAACCTTTATCCGCGAAATTTGATGTATGATTTTTCTCTCCTCCCCCCCTCCCTCTCTCCCTCCTTTTTTTCATCTGCATACACCTTAAAACTATAATATATTTCAACAAATCTTTAATTAATTCGATTATTAATTTTAATCTTTAATATCATGATTGGTTTCACTTATCTAAACTCAAACATTTCTTTGAATAATTTTTATAAAATCTAATAAATAATAATAATTTTACTTTATAGAAAAATTCCCATCCACGATTTTTAAGAATTCGAACGAAATGAAGAATAATAAAAATTCTTCCAAAATCTTCTACTCTACGAACTATTATAATCATTTCTATAGTCACAAATATTTGTGATCTATGTACATGATCGATGGACGAAATTTGCACAACAATTTATCTATTTAAAAAAAAAAAAAAAAAAAA